ATTATTATTATTATTATTATTATTATATATTTTATATTATATACAGTAAAGACCATAACTGAACCAATAACTCCACTCTAATTTTGTATAAATCTTAATTTATTGCTAAGAATGTAAATGAATATTAAAAAATGAACATTATAGTAAGTTTTATTTATTTTTTTATTAATAATAATTAAGTTTTATTATTTTTATACATTATTTATATTCTTCGCAATAAATAAAAATTTATACAAAACTAGAGTGGGATCATTGGTTTAGTTATGCTCTTTACTGTATATTATAATTTTATTATTATATTTTTTTTTTTTAAATTAAAGTTTTCATTAGAATAATAATAATAAATAATAAAAATATAAAAAAAGTTTTAATAAAAATAATGTTAATTTAATTAACAATTGTAAAGGTAAGCACAAGAGTTTCGTCTATCCATGGACCAACTGCCAACGAACGACTCTTCAATAAGGCTTGAACACCGGGCACAATGGTTCAAGGACTGAGCGCCCTGGATAACAAATTACACGAAAAAAAAAAAAGGCTTGAACAGGTTGATCCTACCTCCCTAGACTTAGATGAAAATCCACTTCTATTTATCAGGTACTGATAACAGGTATCGGAGACGATGCTAAAAAGTTTACTTGCATAAGTCATTCTAATTACAAATCTCTTCTGGCAAGGGGTTGGAACTATCAAAAATGTCTGGCTAATGAGGAAACATCATCTAATTATTACTCAAGTATTATATATAAAAATCAGCTTTTATACTATAACGTAAGTAAAATTATAATTTCATGAACATTCAGGGTGTCTGGTAAGAGGTTGCCACAATGTTAAGTGTCTGGCAATGAATGACATAATTTTTAATAATATTCTAAAGGTAATACCGAAAAATCACACTTTATTATTTGATAAATTTAGATCGATATTTTACACAACTTTAGTACCGTTTACCTGCCAAAGCCACGGTAACTCAAACTTCATAATGTTCTTACATGTCGTTGTCATCGTTCTTACCTGTGTTGGGAGCATGCGCTGATAAACTTTCAGCTTTTATCAAATAACGAAGGTCTGGGATTCACGGACTCTTGTTCTATGTCATGTAACAAGGCTTCTCAATCTTTTCCACTTACTGACCCCCTTTTATGTGAAACAAATATTTTCACGACCTTGAGAATATGGACTTTATATTATGTTCATTTTCATTATCATTAACCTAAATACATACCATAAGTGTTACATTATCAAACTGGTTTAGAATTAATTATCAGTCGTTGTGAGCGTTAAGTAATTTTTGTTTTTAATTTTCAATACAATTTCTTTTTTTTTTTAATTTATTTTCTACCAATAAATTTAATTACGTTAATGTTTAAGGTTTGAAATTTTCTGTCTGTAATATATAATAATATTACATAATACTTTACGATAGAAAATATTGTAATTAATTATATAATTTGATATTTGTGTATTTGATTACGAATATTATTGGATATTCAATCATATACATATGTATATATCAAAATATAAAAATATATAAAAAAGAAAAGAGCACGTACTTAAAATTTGCACACCAACACATAAACACACATATGCATACTAACATACATACATATATATATATATATATATATNAATATTATTAAACCATAATTTATAAATAATATATCTAATAATAAATATATTATATATTATTTCATAATATTTGATAATAAATATTATTAAATAATGTTTACGAAAATAAATTAATTTCATAATATTTGATAATAAATATTATTAAATAATGTATACGAAAATTATATAGGATATGTAATGTTAAATTTTTAATAAGAAAATTAATAAAAAAAAAAAAAAATAAACTATATAAATAATATATACGTGAAATAGGTTTAAGATTCTTATTTTTATTTTTGTTTTTCAATTCTAACATTTCAATCTGACATTTCAAAATAACAAACTGTTACTTGTTTTATTTCGATCTAACACTCTATTATTATTTAAAAAAAAAAAAAGAAATATAAATAATTTTCATATTTTGTTGAAGTTGAAAACTATTATTCAATCGGCTTTCGTAATATCAGTGTTTTATAAATAAAATCAGATGTCTAATTTTTCATACTAATATTTTATCGTAGAAATAAGATTGTACAATTTTCTTTTCACCTCAATTTAATAATTTAACTATGCATATCTATAATTTTCAAAATTCAATTGTAATGTATGTATATATGCACATGTGTGCATCTGTGTGCGTTTGTTTGTTTATGCAATAGGAAATATCACAAATACATATTTCACATAAATAATACTAAAATAAATAATTCTTCGATGTAATGTATTTTCTAAAATGATTTATAAGTCGCGTGATTAGTTACTCTTTCGTTTTATCTGTAAAAAAGAAAAAAAAAAGATCAGATATATTTGTTCGATTAAGTCATTCTTCGTATTACGTACGTGTCTCGTGCAATGTCTTATTACATATATTTACATTTCCAATTGCAATCACGACGGACATTTTTTTTTTTCTATTTTATAAATATCTTTCCAATTTTTTTTGCTACTACTATTCGCATGATCAATAAATCTTCAATTTTTTATAGAATATAATTTATATATATATTGTATGACATATTAAACAATATTATATAATAAAAAATATATATATATTATTCTATATTTATACATTTTTTTATTATTTAATAAAATAATGTTTGATTATTATTATATTTTAATATACTATAAATTTATTATGCTTTAAGATAATACAAAATATATATATAATTAAGCGTTCAAAAGATATTCAGAGACAAACATCAGTACACATGAAAGTTTGATGATGATTATCTTCATTAATGTATATAAATTACGTGTCACGTTGTTTGTTCGCAATGGACTCTTAAGCTACTGAACCGATTTTAATCAAATTTTGCACACTGTGTGCAGTTTCATCCAACTTGAAAGATAGGATAGTTTATATCTCAATTTATAATCGCAATATTATTTTATTGCGAATTATTTGTTTATTAACAAAGAGTCATGATTATCTCTGTCAGTTCGATAAGATTCTAACAGATGGCGGTATAAGGTGCCACAGCAACGCGTGGCGGAGCACCCCTAGTATTAATATAAATTATTAATAATATAAATTAATACGCAGAATAAATAAATATATATATGATAAATATATAGTTATATAGTTATATATAGTTTATGTGCACATATATACGTATATATTTATAATATATAATAATAATAAAATATAATAATATTTATATATATATATATATATTTATATATATATATAATATAATATAATATTAATCTAATATTTTATTTATTTATTTTATTTATCTCTATTTATTTCATGTATTTATTTTATTTTTTTATTACTTATACTGTGCATATAATATTATAGATTATATAAATAAATGTGTGTGTGCGTGTGTGTTCGGTAAGAATGATAAAAATAATTATTATACAGAAATATTTAAAATATATTTTTAGAGATACAGATATTTTTAATAAAAAAAAAAAAAATAAAAAAAAATTAAAAAACAAGAAAGTAAAAAAAAGACAAACTGATAAATGAAATAAAAATAAAATTATTGATCAGACAATAGAAAAAATTCTATTTATCTATAATAACAGGCAACAATTCCTAGTATCATTCCTTATTTTCTTTTTTTTTTTTTCTAAACTAAATAAACTCATAATCCATTCTCTCTATTACGTGATACTAATTATTACTTAATGATTCAACTTTATCCTACAAGACGTTTAACATATATATATATATATATATATATATATATATATATATATATATATGTGTATATATAAATAGGAATGTGAAATGTGAGTAAGCAATAATTTTATATTTCTTTTTCTTTTTTTATCAAACATAAAATCCCGGTTGAAATATAAAATTACACAACCCTTTTTAATCCTTCGAACCCTGTGTGCACATTTTAATGTACATAATACTTTATACAAATATTTATATTATGTAGATTAATATATGTTGAATTTGGCGGTAATCAGTGTGTCAGCATACACATACACATACATATACATTAGGGTGGGTTAAAAAAATCAATTATTTTTTTTTTACAAGTG